CGGGCTGCCGCGCAACCACTTCCGCATCGACGGCAAGATCCTCTCCTTCTGGGAGAAGTGCCTCCGCTCGGTGCTCACGCGCGACGTCGAGGGCTTCACGCCCGGCCAGTCCGCGAACCTCCTCGCGACGATCGCGGCGGTCTACATCCTCGAGCGGGGCAACTACGGGCCCCACCCCGACGACCCCATCCAGGCGTCGTCGGCGGAGATTCTCGACGCGGTCTCCTGCGCCTTCCTCGAGGCGTACAAGCGGGCCTACGGCGACGTCCGCGCCGAGGACGACGACGCCTGAGCCACCAGGCCGTGAAGCGCCAGGCCCGCGAGGCCCGCGAGGCGGCCGAGGCGCCGCCCGCGGCCGTCGAGGAGCCCGCGGTCGTCGAGCAGGCCGGCGCGGCCGAGGCGCCGCGCGTCGCGCCCGCGCACGGCCTCGACGCGGAGCAGACGGCCCGCCTCCAGCCCGTCATCGACGAGCTCAGCGCGCTCTTCGCCCAGCGCGGCCCCTGAGGCCGCGCCGCCGAGACCGCGGAAAAGCCGCGGCCTCGCCTCCCCGGCCCCCCTCGCTGGACCCTAGGCCTCCGGGCTGATCTGGGCATGTGCAACCTTGTGGTACTTCGATTCGCAGTAGTACTGGCGTACATCTGGTATTATAATACTACATAGTAGCAGCGGCGTCGCCGGCGCCGCCGAGACCGGGGCCGGCCGACGGCGGCGCGGAGACCGGCGCGGGCGCGGACGTCGCCAAGGCGTCCGGTGCCGCGAACGCCAGCGCGGGCGCGGGCGCCGTGGACGTCGGCGCGGGCGCGGGCGCGGGTACCATGGCCGACGGCGCGGGCGCGGCCGCCGTGGACGTCAGCGCGGGCGCGGGCGCGGCGGCGGGCGCGGGCGCGGCGGCGGCGCCCGCCGGCGACCAGCCGCCCGGATGCTGCCACACCGTCTGGCCGGACGCGGCGTGATGATAGTAGGGTTTGTTGTCTGACTCGCGGCGGTAGAGCTGCCAACCCGGCGGCAGCGCGAGCAACGCCTCTCGGTGGCGTCGGGCCTGCTGCTCGCGCGCGACGCGCGCGCGGTTCGCCTCCTCCGCGGCCTGCTGCCGCCGGAGCTGTTCCGCGCGGATCGCGGCGTCCCTTCGCGCCTCCTCTTCGCGGCTCGGCCGGCCAGCCTTTTCTCTCTCATATTCATCCATCGCATCGTCTCGGAGTCCCGCGTCGAGGCGCTCGTCCTCGTTCTCGCGCATTAAGTCGTCGGTGACGACCGTCGACGCGACGACGTCGCCGCGCGCCGCGAGCGCCGCCGCGAGGGCGCCGTCCTCGACGGCGGCGTCGCAGTCGTCGTCGCTGCCGACGGAGCTCGCGTCGTCGCCGCCGCCGTCGCCGAGGCGCGCGACGTCGCCGAGGTCCGCGAAGTCGTAGAGCCGCTCGAGCGCCGCGTCGTCGACGACCTTGAGCGCCAGGAACTCCTTCTGGTTCGCGCGCTGGTAGACGCGGCGCTCGAAGCCCTGCGCGACGAGTCGATAGATGTAGACGTGCTTCGTCTGGCCGTAGCGGAAGCAGCGGAAGAGGGCCTGGCGGTCGATGGCCGGGTTCCAGCACGCGTCGAAGAGGACGACGCGGTTCGCGGCGACGAGGTTGATGCCCATGTTGCCCGCCTTGGTGCTCAGGAGGAAGACGCGCGCGCGCGCGCCGTCGGCCTCGAAGGCCTCGACCATCTTCTGCCGCTCCGCGGCCGCGACGCTGCCCTCGATGCGGAAGAAGTCGACGCGGGGCCGCCAGCCGCCGCGGACCGCGCCGCCGTGGTCGAGCGCGTCCTGGATGCGGTCCCGGTTCGGGTCGAGGAGGCCGCCCCAGGTCTCGGACGCGAGCGCGTGCTCGAGGAAGTCGAGCGTCGCGAGGCTCTGCGTGAAGACGACCATCTTGTCGCCGCGCTTGAGGCACTCGCTCAGGAGCTCGAAGAGGAGCAGCGTCTTCGCGCTGTGGTCCGCGGCCGCCGGCGCGCCGGACGCGCGGAGCGCGTCGCCGACGGCGCCGCGCCAGGACCACGCGGCGCCGGCCGCCGCCTCGGCCGCGGCGCCGGCGCCGTCGCGCTCCCGGAGCGCGGCCTCGACGCGCGCGCGGTCGCCCGCGGAGAGCGCCTCGGCGACGGAGACGCGCGCGCCGTCGCCGTCCGTCAGCAGGTGCGTCAGCGGGTGGTTGCCGAGCTTGAGGATGGGCTGGTGCGCGGCCATGACGTTGACGCGCGCGCCCGCCGCGCGCCGGTGCGCGAGGAACGCGCCGTAGACGGCGCGCTGCGCGGGCCGGAGCTTCGTCGTGACGAGGTACTCGGTCTTGCCCATCTCCTTGGCGAGGAGCGACTCGTCGCGGCGCAGCACGAAGTCCTTGATGAGGTCCTGGAGCACGAACATGCGCTTCTTCATGCGCGTGACGTCCTTCTTCTCGCTGTCGCGGCAGAGGCCGTTGTCGATGGGGTCGACGAAGCGGTTCTTGAACTCGGCGCGCGTGCCGAGCACCGCGCCGCGAACGTAGGAGATCATCGTGTGGTACTCGAGCAGGTTGTTCTGGAGCGGCGTGCCCGTGAGCGCGACGCGCCGCTTCGTGCGGATGCGGCTCAGCGCCTCGTGGCGCTTCGACTTGGGGTTCTTGATCGTGTGCGCCTCGTCGAGGACGACGACGTCGGGCCCGGGGTCCTGGAGGCAGCGCCGGCAGGCCACGACGTCCGGGTCGTCGGCCGCGGCGTCCGCCTCGGGCTCGTCCTCGTCGTCCTCGAGGTCGTCGGCGCGGTCGCGGACCGCGACGAGCGACTCGCCCTTGTAGGTGACCTTGGCGTGGCCATTGACCTTGTCGACCTTGAGCACGCGCTTCGCGAAGGCGCTCGCGGACGCGAAGCGCTCGCCCTCCCACTGGATGGAGCCGTCGCGGTTCAGGTCCGCCTCGACGGCCCGGCCGTCGACGGAGAGGCAGCCGCCGCCGGCCTCGACGACGCCGGCGTCGAGGAGCGCGGCGAGGTCCATCTTCTTCTTCCGCTTCCGCTTCTTCTCGCCCCGCTTGCCGACGAGCGCGTGGAAGAAGTCGTAGCCGACGACGCAGACGCCGCCGAGCCGCTGCCACGCCTCGAGCGCGTCGACGCGGCTCCGCGCGGCGCGGTCGACGACGACGACGCGGCCCACGAGGTGCCGGTCGCGGCCGCACCACTTGCGGAACTCCGCGGCCCAGTTGCGCACGACGTTCGTCGGGCAGACGACGAGGCACGTGCGCACGCGCCGCCGCGCCGCCGGGTCCTTGAGCAGCGCGGCCATGTAGGCGATGCACGTGAGCGTCTTGCCGAGGCCCATGCTGTGCGCGAGCACGCAGCCGAACGCGTCCGCGTCCGGGTCCTCGAGGAGGTCGAGCGACTCGACGGTCTGGTCGTAGAGGAACCGCGCGGCCTCGACCTGGTGCTCCTTGAGCCGGTAGCCGAGGTACTTGGGCACGACGACGCGCCGCTCGGGCGCGCCGTCGTTGAGCGCGACGACGGCGACGTCGCCGAGGTCGTCGTAGTCGTCGTCGTCCTCGGGCGGCAGCGGCGGCGCCGGCGGCGGCGCGGCCCGCTCGAGGCTCGCGCGGTCGAGGCGGCGCCGCTCGAGGCGCGCGCGCTTTGCCTCCTCGCGGTCCACCGCCGCGCGCGTGCTCTCGCAGAGCTCGTCGTCGCCCAGCTCCGCGGCGAGCGCGCGCTTCTTCCGCGGCGCGTCCGCGAGGCCCGCGGCGACGAGGTCCTCGTCGTCGACGAGGATGGGGTCGTCGCTCGCGCCCGTCGACGTCCGGTCCGCGGCGTCGTCGAAGTCGCGCGCCTCGTAGGGCGGCAGCGCGAAGTACGCGTCGCCCGTCGCCGGGTCCGCCGTCGCGGCGACGACGTAGGCCCGCACGTCCGCCGGGCCCTCGAGCGCGCCGCCGACGGACGCGCGCGCCTCGTTGCCGACGTGGACGCGCGCGGGCGCGTCGCCGTCGGGCGCCGCGTCGAGGGGCCGGAACTGCGCCTCGGCCGCGAGCGCCGCGCGCGCGGCCTCGAGCGCGACGTGCGCCTCGGCGACGCCGTCGCCGCCGGCGACGGCCGCGTCGTGGTCCGCCGACGCCCGGACGACGGCCGCCTCCGCGGCCGCGAACTCGGGCCGCGCCGCGGCCTCGACGCCGTCGACGCGGACGCGCGTCTTCGCGCCCGCGAGCCGCGCGACGCGGAGCCCGGCCGCGCCGACGCGGAGCGTCGCGCAGAGCCGCGACATGCGCTTGTTGCTCGCCGCGCCCAGGGTCAGGAAGTTCGCCGGCGCGTCCGCGTGCGCGCGGCCGAGCACGTAGTCCGTGTCCTCGGCGAGGTCGACCGTCCGCGCGGCGCGGCCGTCGCGCGCGGGCTCGTGGAGCAGCGCGAAGACGCCGGCCTTGCGCTCGACGCGCGTCCAGGCCTCGCCGCCGCCGTCCGCGGGGGGCGCGCGCGGCGCCGCGCGGCGCGGCCGCGCGGCCGGCGACGCCGCGGCCGTCGCGGCGGACGCGCGCGGCCGCGGCCGCGGCCGCGGCGCGCCGCGGCTCCGCGCGGCGTCGGCCGCGCGGCCCCGGCGCTGGGCCGCGCGGTCGCCCGCGTCGTCGTAGCGCGCGACGCGCGCGGCGCCGAGCTTCTTGCGCTCGGCCGCGAACGCGAGCCGCGTCGGCTCGTCGCCGCCGGAGTCGCCGTCGAGCTCCTCGATGGCGAGGACGTCGTCGTCGTCGTCGCTGTCGAGCGCGGCGCGGAGCCGCGGCGCCGTCGGGTCGAGCTCGTCGTAGAGCACGCCGAAGCGGTCCGCGCCGAGCTCCTCGGCGCGCCGCGCCTCGAAGCCGGACGCGCCGACGGCGCCCTCGAGGCGCGTCGCCCCGCCGGCGCCGCGCTTCCGCTTGATGGGCCGCGCGTCGGCGAGGTAGGCCTCGGCCGCGCGGTGGCTCGCGCGCGCCTCGTCGTCGGAGATGCCGTCGTACGTCGCCTCGCTCTCGCCGTCGGAGACCTGCGTGGAACTCGAATCTTCGACCCGACTTCGATGTGACCGAGCTCGAGATTTTTGAAGTTTGGCCCCGACGTCCCGGCTCGCCGGTTGATTGCCACGCGGGCGGACGCGTCGTCGTCGTCGCCCGCGGCGACGAGGCCCCGGACGCGGCCCCGGCGCCGCTGGTGAACCTTGGGCGCCGCGCGCCAGGCCTGGGTGAGCGGCGCCGCGGCGCCCGTCGCGTCCGCGGCGCTCAGGGCCGCGTAGAACGCCGCGAGGTCGACGCCCCGGGCCTCGGCGCGCTCCTGCGCGAGCGCGTGCTCGCGCTCGAGGCACGCGTGGCGCCGCCGCTGGAGCCGGAGCCACTCGTCGACCTCCCGCGCGACGGCCGCGCCCAAGTCGTCGGCGCCGCACGCGCCCTCGAGCTCGCGGTAGACCGCGCCGCGGACCGCGTCGACGGACTCGCCCTCGAGGAGCTCCTGCGCGTCCGCGAGCTCGCTCTCGAAGGCCATGAGCGCCGCCTCGGCCGCCGCGCGCGTCGCGTCCGTCGCCTCGCCCTCGTCGTCGTCGTCGCCCCCGCGCGCCGCGGCCGCGGCCGCGCGCGCGCGCTCGAGCGCGCGGGCCGCCTCGGGCGGCTCGCACGCGACGCAGCGCCAGACCTCGAGGTCCTCCGCGAGGGCCGCGTAGTCGTCGCCGACGTGGCGCGCGAGGCAGGCCCGGCACCAGGCGCGGTCGCAGTCGTCGCAGCAGAGCAGCGTGCCTGCGCGGCGCGCGGGGGGTTACGAGGGTCGCGCGCCGCGGCGGAGACGCGGGCCGCGCGCCGCCGTCGCCGCACCAGGCGCAGGCGTCGTCGCCGTCCTCCTCCTCGAGCGCGTCGTGGCAGACGCCGCAGCACGCCACGGCGAGCGCGGGCGACAGCCGCGGGTGGGCCAAACAAGGCACGCAGTCCGGGATGCGAACGGCGCAGACCGTGCAGAGGACGTCGCCGGCGGGCTGCGCCGGCGCCGCCGGCGCCGCCGGCGCCGTCGCGGGGCGGGGCGGGGCGTGCGGAGATGGCGCCGCCGGGGTCGGGGCGCGCGGCGAACACTCGAGGGCCGTCTCCATGCTCTCCCAACCGGCCGCGCCTGCTCAAAACGCCTCTGTCGGCACCGCACGCGCGCGTCCGCGAGCGCTGCGCGCCGCGTCGTCCTGCGCGCCGCGCCGCCCGCCCGCGCGTGTCGCGCGCCATGCGGGCGCTCCTGCTGCGGCTCGCGGCGCTCGCCGCGTCCGGCGACGGCTTCTTCCTGCTCCTCAAAGACAGGAAGGAGTGCGTCGTCGTCGAGCAGCCGCTGGACACGCCGCTGACCGTGCGCTACGAGATGCCGGCCCTCGAGGCCGCCGGCCTCACGGGCTCCGAGCCCGGCGAGGACCCGCCCCTCGGCGTGAAGCTCACGCTCGTCGACCGCCACACGAACTCCGTCGTCTTCTCGAAGATCGTGTCGAGCCACAAGGGCGAGGAGTCGATGGCGACGGTGTCCGAGGCGAACCACGACCTCTGCGTCAAGCCCGTCACGAACAAGCTCGAGGCCGAGTTCCGCTTCGAGCTCGAGGTCGAGCGCGGCCACGGCGACAAGTACTACAGCGAGATGGCGTCCGAGAACCACATGGACCGGCTCCAGGTCGAGGTCGTCAAGCTCAACGACGAGCTCGCGGAGATCCTCAACGAGGCCGACTACATGAAGGAGAAGGAGGTCAAGTTCCACAAGAAGGCCGAGCGCATCAACCTCGCGGCCATCTGGTGGCCCATCCTCCAGATCGCCATCCTCGTCCTCACGGCGACCTTCCAGGTCCACAACCTCAAGGGCTTCTTCCAGTCCAAGCACCTCTACTAGGGCCGCGCGTGCGGTCGTAGATTCTCGACGGCTTGCGGCTCCTTCAACTTGATGTGCAAGTCTGTGCAAGTTGCCACAGGCGAGCCTCGCGATGGTCGTCGAGACGCGCAGCGGGCTCCGCTACGCCTACGACGCCGAGGCGCCGACGCGGAAAGACCGCGCGAGCCTCGATAGGCGCCCGCTGCGCGTCGAGCTCGGCGCCGTCGCGGGCAGCGCCGGCTCCTGCCGCCTGACGCTGGGCGGCACGGAGGTCGTCGCCGCCGCGCGCCTCGGCGCGGCGGCGCGGGGCGAGGTCCTGCGCTGCGACGTCGAGGTCGGCCCCGGCGCGGGCGGCTCGAGCGACGCGGCGGCGGCCGGCGACGCCGTCGCGCGCGCGGTGTCGCCGTTCCTGCTGACCGCCGCGCTCCCGAAATGCGCCGTCGACGTCCGCTGCGCGGTGGCCCGGGACGACGGCGGCGCGCTCGTCGCCCTCGTCGCCGCGGCCGGCGCCGCCCTCGCCGACGCGGGCGTGCCCCTGCGCGACGTGCCCGGCGCCGCGGCCGTCGCGGCCGACGCCGCGGGCGCGTTGCTCGTCGACCCGACGGCCGCCGAGGCCGCGGCCGCGGCGAGCGAGCTCCGCGTCGCCGCGGCCCCGAACGCGGTCACGGCCTGCGCCCAGAGCGGCGCCGCCGACGCCGCGACGACGGCCGCCGCGCTCGCCGCCGCGCTCGCCGCCGCCGCGGACGTCCGGGCCGCCGTCCGGGCCGCGCTCGCGGCCGCCGCCGCGGGCGACGGCCGCGCGAAGCGGGGGCGCGCGGACTAACGGGGTACGGGCTAGAGGACTTCCCCCGGCGCCGGTATGCGGGCTATAGCGGGCTTCCCCCGGCGCTCGTATCGAATTTTTCTAAAAAAGGGGGTCTCGAGCTCCCGCGCGCGGGGTCCCGCGCGCGGGGCCGGCGGCGCCTTGTCAATCCGCGGCGGCGGGCTCGGGGACGGCCTCGGGGCTCCCCTTCTGGCCGCCGCGCTTGCCGCCGCGGCCGCCGCGGCCCCGGCCGCGCGACTTGCCCCGGCCGCGGGATCCGCGCTCGACGGTCGGCGCGTCGGCCTCGGGCTTCGCGCCGAGGACCTGCGCCTCGAACTCGGCGTCCGTGAGGCCCAGCGTCGACTCGACGACGACGCTCTCGCGGCTCTTCTTCTTCGGCGGCGGCTTCTTCTTCGCCTTGAGGACCTGGGCGTCGAATTCCGCGTCCGTGAGGCCGAGCGTGCCGTCGACGACGACGCTCTCGCGGCTCTTCTTCTTGTCCGGCTTCTTCTTCTTCGTCTTCAGCACCTGGGACTCGAATTCCGCGTCCGTGAGCCCGAGCGTGCCCTCGACGACGACGCTCTCGCGGCTCTTCTTCTTCGGCGGCGGCTTCTTCGTCTTGAGGACCTGCGCCTCGAATTCCGCGTCCGTGAGCCCGAGCGTGCCGTCGACGACGACGCTCTCGCGGCTCTTCTTCTTGTCCGGCTTCTTCTTCTTCGCCTTGAGGACGCGCGCCTCGAATTCCGCGTCCGTGAGGCCGAGCGTGCCCTCGACGACGACGCTCTCGCGGCTCTTGGCCCTGGCCTTCTTCGTCGCCGCGTTTCCGCCCGCCGGGGGGCGCGCCGGCGGCGCGAGGTCGCCCTCGTGGAAGACGTCGCGGTCGTAGTCCTTGACGATCCGGTCCGGCTCCGAGAAGACGCGGCCGTTCATGACGATGTGGGCGCCCGGCGGCAGGTAGGGCAGCGCGGCGACGGCGCCGCCGACGTTGAAGTGGGCGTCCGTGGCGGCGAAGGCCGCGGGCCGCATGGACCCCGTGAGCGCGACGACCTTGGAGGCCCTGAGCGCCGCGGGTTTCAGCGCGAGCGCGGTCTTCCACAACGTGTCCGTGCCGTGGGTCACGAGGACGTGGGTCTGGGCCGCGCCGGCGACGGCGGCGACGATCGCGTCCCGGTCGCCGTCCGTGAGCTCCAGCGAATCCTTGCGGCAGATCTCCCGGAATGCCACGCGGTGGGCGCACTTGACGTCGCGCAGGAGGCCCTTGAGCACCGGCGCCGCGCAGACGAAGTCGCTCGCCAGCGAACTGTAGGTCTTGTCAATGCTCCCGCCCGTCGTGATGCACAGGATCTCCAGCGGCGGCGCCATCGCGCGCTCTCGCAATGGATGGCGCTCTGCGAGGCTCTTG